TTCGTTTGGAATTTTTCAATATTATTTTTTTTATTACCTTTGATGGATGCAGTTCGAGTACAATTATATAAAATAGCTAATTCACCAAATACTCGACCAGGACCCATAGTTGTTAAGACTTTATTATGTTTACTCACTTCAACTGTTCCTTCTACAAAACAAAAAAAGGAGCGTTTGATTTTCCTTTTCGACAAAATCAAATTTCATTTTTTACCTTCCATAATATAAACAAGATTTCCAACATCACCTTCTTTTATAATTAAACTACCATCATTATGTTCAAGTGGATACATACAATCGACAATTGACATTATTTGGTCCATTTCAAGATTTTTCATAAAATCATTATTTAATATTGCATCAAGTAAAAATTCTTTTGTCCTGTTTGATTCAAAAAGAGAAAACCATTAGTCTGATTTGTAAATATATATCCCATGAGGGAAGTCTGTCAACGGACTAATCACTTTGGATTCTGGACTATGTGCATTATGTAGATTCTTATGAGTTTTAAATATCCTGAACAGAATTCGGACTCTGAATTTATAGCTCGTCCTCTCCTTAGGAAAATTGATTTTTGGACTTCGACTTGAAACCCCCCACCCACAGATTGGTCTTAATAAGATTAGTTTATTGTGAAAGATTCAAGCCCTTTAATTTGCTTCTATTCTGAAATAAGAGCATCGGATCTACCAATGTATACACCAGTGATGTAAGCGACCAGGTTTTGCCATAGCTGTATCTTGGAATAGGAACAATGAATGTATCTAAAATTTTTTTGATAAGGCATGTTAATATCGAAAGTTTGAAGTCGAAATTCGAAAATGAATTTTTCTAGTATTCCTGAAGGAAGAGAACCAGGACATTATGCGCTAAATAGTATCATACATATGCAGTATTTCGGCAGCAATAAGCTAAGAGTCCGAACTATTTTCAGGGTATTCATTGTTTAGGAGAGTCTATATGATGCACATAGTCTCGACTCAAAAACAATTAATCAGTTGGAGGGCTTCCTTCATCAGATAGAAATTCAAGATTATTAGAAAGGAAATCATATGACTGACTAATAGGTGGCCCATAAAGAATGAATCTTCTTAATGTTTTGTATATTTCTCAGCAGCCTTTCAATAGAATGGGATGATGTTTTTTTAATAGACGCTTCGTTCGATTCTCTATAAATTTGCATATTTCACTTAGACCGAATAGGGTATCTTAGTTGCTTAGACTCAATGAAATGAATAGTTTCAGAATACGACAATTTCAAAAATTTTCTTTTATGAAGTTTTTTTTTCATTGGATTTCATGAGTGATTTTATCAGTGTTTATTTTAATTCTACCAGACTTCAATTAGTTATTAAATAGATACGCAACTTGGTTTATTCAACATTGAAATATGAGACGATGATCACCTGTATCGTGCATTCAACAATAAATCTGAAGTTTCTATATCAGAAGTACGTGTTGAAATCAAAATTACATCGAAATGAAACACTATTTTCATGAATTTTTTGCGAAGATGAAGACTTTTAAAATAACTTAATATTAGACAAAAAGACATTGAGAACTTTTCTCTTTCGGTTACCGAAAACTTCATGTCGCCGTCTTTAGTAGGATTGAAGACTTAACTATTATTGTTAATCAATAAGAAAAGAACTTTACTTTTTTGAAAAACAAGGTATGGAAGATGATAAGCATGCATTTATGAATAATCAATAATTGATTAAATCTTCGATTTCATTATAACTAGTTTCAAAGTGATAATTGATTGAAATATTGTATGACTAAAATAAAGACTAACAAAAGATAAACAACTTTTTTTTGAAAGTGTCGTATTCTGAATCTATTCATGTAATTAGGTTAAAAAAATTTAGATATGTTGTTCTATTTAAGTGAAAAAATGTCAATTTATAGAGTATCGAACGAAGCATCTATCGAAAAAAAATTGCCTTGTTATGTTAAAAGTATACTGAGAAATATGCAAAATATTGAAAAGGGTCATTTTTTTATGGGCTATTGATTACAATCATTGCCTCGAAATATATGCATATATGTGTATTTGAATTTTTTTCAAGGTATTTTTATTACTTATTTATTTAATACAGCACGATATATATATATAATGCTTATTTATTCATTAATATACAATTCTAGGTAATGAAATTTGTCATGTTCATTATAACTAAGAAAACATAATCGATGAAAGATTGGCCTTGAAGATCATTTATACATCGAAGTTTTTCTGTTTATAATAAATGTCAGAGAATGTCATCAGTAAATATCTGTCTAAACGACTATGATGTTCGTTGTTTCTTTTCAGACTATATATTTAATAGTTTTTAATAGACTTATATATATTGAAAATTTTTATTCTTATCATTACTATATATAGTAAAACACTTTACAAATGAATATCATTTATAATTCTATTCGATCGATATTCACTCTATGAATATACAAAGTTGTTTTTTTTTTTCGTTTTTGTATATAAAAAGCAAAAAAGAACAAAATTATAAGTAGATTACATTCTTAAGTCGATTGGAAAACATCTGGAAATAGTTTATTTGTTCGTGTACACATAAAATCTTTAGTGATGAACAAGTTAGATATTCTAATGATGTGTGTAAATTTACTCCTCTTCTTCTTTTTCTTCTTGTTTATAGCAAATGATATGTGCCTGTTGATCATTATTATCATGAAACTATTTGACTATTCAATTGCATCGAACGACTGCAGCTCTTCCATAACAACAACAACAACAACAACAACAAACATTACTAACTTATTCCCGTATATCAACCTCCGCATTTGTCTATATGTTCCTTATGGAAAAAATTAGCTATGTCAGATTATACTTTTGACATTCAATAAAAATGATATTTTCACTTGTATTATCTAATATAAAAGATTATTTCTCTTGAGTATTCTAATCGTTAAACGTATTCATAAAAAAAAAACCATTGCACTATTAGTGTCCTTGTCGAATAACTATAATAATCAATTCTTAGTGTCGATCGATATTTCCAGATGAGGACCTTTGTCCTTTATCTTTTTTTTTCTTTGTCGATGATCGATCTCAGTGACGTAGATTTGTCAAAGTCAAGGTTATATATCTGCTATCCTAACTATATCTTACCGATCGGATTTATCAAATGCTTGAAGAACAACACGTAAATCTTTGGATTTTTTATGTTGAGCTGGTTCGGCACTAATAGCTGTACGTTTTGTACGTTGTTGTTTTGTTGGTGATGGTACATCGAGAAGAGATGTACGTGGTGATACATTTATACTCATACCATTATTTAAACCAGTTGTTATAACAAATGTTGAATCATATTTTGATATTTCTTGTTCAAGTTTTGTTATATAAGCATCTTTTTCTTTAATAATCGATTCTTTCATTGATATAACTTCATCTTTTTTGCGTTGTTGATTTTGATAATCAGTACGTAATTTATTGATTGTATTTTCAGCATCTTCAAGTTTTTTGGCGCTATCACGTAGCGCGAGTCGTAAGTCATGCATCGATTGGGTCATCGATTTGAAACGTTAGTCGACATGTGTAAAAGATCAGTTAGGTAAAAACAAAAAAGAAGAAAAAGAGTTTTGTTCTACTCGATTTTATTTGTCTTGATGAGATCGAGAAACCGTTGTGATGCTACTGTTGTTGCTGCTGCTGTTGTTGTTGTCGCCGCGTCGTCTTGCTTCTTCATATCAACACATTGACTTACGTCATCAAACGAACGAATGGTGACGATGAGAGACAGGAAAAGAAGAAGAAAAAGAAGAAAAAAAAAGAAAGAACTCTTATACTCTCTTCTGTCTATGTACAAGGCACGGCATCGACGTCATTGGAACATCATCATCATTATCGTACATTAACTAATTTATGCTTCCGCATATTTTTTTTCTCTTTTCTATTCTTTACTTCTGTGTCTTCATTTATATGCATACGCTTATGTTATATGGGTGAAAAATATTCCCATTTCCTTAATTCTTGGTATCCTGTTTGTCGAAAGTTCTCGCTTTTCTTTTGCTTCTTTCTCTATCCATACGTATGGACAAAAAAAAAGAAAAGATGCTAGATATATTTATGTGCATGTTGCTGTTGATGCTTGAGGGCAAACAGAGCAAAACTCGTTCCCTTTAGCATTCTTTTGTCGGTTTCTTTTTTGACATCTACTTATATGATTGTGCGCCCTTTCAAATATCCATCAAGTAACTCTTTCTTGTCGCATAAAAGAATTGTCGAAATTAGAAACCTCTATTAACCAGTAACATCAAGATATATTCTTTATGTATGTCATAGTTTCTCTCGTTTCTTTTTTTTTGTATATTTTTATATCAATTTCTTATTTAATTCTATTGTTATTCTAAACTTAGATTCTGTCTAAACATAAGCACATCCGTAGTTTGTACCCATTGAGATCACAATATTCGTTTTTCTTTTCTTCCTATTTTTTGTGTTTGTAATTGTAACTGTCCGGATGGATGCACATAGCAATTGACAAGCAACTGTTCCTAGTTATATTTTTTTGTGTTTTTTTTGATAGATGAATCGTCTTGTATGTACCACCCATTGCCTTCGAGTCCAGTGACGTCTCTTGAGAGATATCTAATTCAAAGGAAGATGAATGAAAGACTATAACGATGACAAGGGAAACCAGTAACATTGCAATGAGACTAATTGAAGACGAACATATTAAGAAAGGAAGAAGGAGAAGAAAATAGATAGAGACACTTTGAAGAGGCGGAGAACGCTTATACTTTGTCAATTGATTTGGCCAGCATATTCACTAGACAATAAGTTCTATATATATATATATATATATATATATATGTATACATATATACATACAACCATTTAATGCCAGTGTCTGTTTCTATGTTGTATATATATAGAATCACTTTCTCATTGATAGTTATATATGAAAAGAAATACTTGGATGTCATTCTCTCTTTTTTTTCAGTGCATCATAAACATATACTTTTTTTATCTTCTTTACTTACCAATCGGACTTTTCCAATGTAATTAGTGCACAGAGTGTTGATGGAGGCGCTGAGACACCAGACCGACGTTGCTCATTATCTGTATGACAATATTTACTGAAAGATTGATGGGCTGAAAATATAGATTGATATTTATCTAATTGTGAACGTAATTCATTTATTTCATGTTTGTTATTATTAATAATCATTTCTAAATCAGCAATACGTGCATCACGTTCATTTAGTTCTCTTTGATGTTGATACCATAATCCAGTCAGCATTCTATCGAGATATCGTATCACTGAAATCATATTGAGAACAATAGTTACTTATTGGATATTGTTGTCGAATAATTGCTGACAAATCCATTTTTATGCCAAAAGAATGGATAACAATAAAGGACAAATGGATTTTCAATATGTTGTCTCAATATAGTAACGATTCTGACCTTTTGTTTGGCATGTTACCAAAATATCTCGATTTATTCTCTTGGAAATAATTTCACCAAACTAATTGATAGAAGAATTAGAAAAAAAAAATGAAAGCTTTTTTCTTCTTCTGCTTCTTCTTCTTATTATTATTGTTGTTGTTGTTGTAGTTGTTGTTATAATTATTTTTCCACATTATACATTTTGTTTATTTTAATATAATGAGTACATTCATATTATTAAAATCATATTATGGAATTTCTAGTAATTTCATTTAATAGTTAAATAATTGCAAATTTTCTGATTCTTGAACAAATAAGATTATACTTAGTTTATTTCTATGATGTAACAGAGTATAATTATTTCCGAAGAGAGGAAAAAAAAAAGCTAATTTGAACTCATTTGGAATCAATTGTTACTGATTGTTAGCTATTGGCTAACCATTATTCGATGAAAACAAGAGACAATTGCTTTATTTCTTTGGGCAAACATCTCTAAATGATAATCTTGTAGCTTGAAAAAGAGTTTATTGTTATGGCAAATGTCATTTTGTTTTCAGCTTATTACTTGAGGCATCAGAATTGATTATTAAAAAACAAGAATTACAAATATGTTGTCCATAGATAAATTTTCAGATATAAGAAAATCATTAAACGATTTTTTTAAAGATAATAACAATAGAATAGCTGAGCATGTTCTCCTTCTCATATAAATCTTGAATAAATTATAAACCGTAAAAAAAAGAATCTCTATTTGTATACCGAACTATATGAAAGGGTATAAACTGACAAGACCATCAATCATTATTATCCGGACGATGAATTTTAAGATGCACGAAAGAAACTGATAACCCTGAAATGATTGATTAACTTTTGTGTTATTTGACACAAGAATAAATGGTTTCTTAGTGGTTAAGGAAAAGAAAACATCTATTCAAATCATTCTTTTTTACCTAGCTTACTTCGTAAATTCAGACATACATATTCTTGGAAATATTGATATATTTTTGTTGAATAATTGTTTATATGGATAGATCATGATGTACATCGATATATTATTTACTTAATATAATGCAAAGAGATCATTCGTTGGTAATTCATTAACAAAGATAATGAAAAATATATAATTCATTAATCTGAAAGTCAAATATAAATTTATATAAAGGAAAAGTCTAGACGGTGTGTACTTTATCAAATCTACTTAAATAATTAATTAAAATCATTGATTTTTTGTAGATAAAAATACGTCATCTATAAATCCTATAAAACAATTAATCAATATAATACTTCAACGGAAACTCTTAAAAACTATTATCCACATTTTAGACAACAGTCAATGATACTATTTTATATGAAAGGAAGGACAAGAGTGTATAAGAGCTAACCTTCGTTTGCTTCCATTCATAGTTGACCTAATGAAAAATTTCATGAGGAATCATTTGATAACAAAAGGGAGCGATTCCTGAAGGATCCATATTTCTTTGTGCAAAATTTATTCATATTCACATTTGTATCATGCATACATGAGTGGTTTGTATAAATTTTCCCATATTAAGAAAATTATATCAATCAGCTATCAATTCAATACGTATCTCTCATAAAAATTTCAGCTTGAACAGTTGAAATATTTTTGATTAATGATGTGAACATTGTTCCAGATTAGCATGAAAATCATATACAATAGATTAGTGAGTATCAAGTTGCTACGAAAACCATTGTTAGACTTTTATCAATAATCTAATTTATTTAAGCTTTCAACAGATCCCACCTATCATCGTCAGGAATAACAATACAGTGGAAAAAATATTTATTTTTACATGTACAATGTATAGCCGTGAGAAAAAAAAACAAGTTAATCGACAGATAATTATAATTCGAAACGTAATTATCTATCGATTAACTTGTTTTTTCTCATATTATACATTGTATATGTAAAAATAGATATTTTTTTTTGTATTGTATTGTTAATCTTGACGATGATAGGCGGGACTTGTTGAAAGCTTGAATAAATTAGATTACTGATAAAAGTCTAACAAGGCTTTCGTAGTAGTTTTATATCTACTAATCTCTTGTTTACATTTTATTGCTCATCGACATAATTACGAAAATGATATGGTTATATGACTATTTCTGTTCACTATTTTGTTAATATTTTGTGAAACGAAAAATTAACAACGTGGATTTTTAACCCGTCGGTTACGGGATCTTTTTTTGAAAAATAACGAAAAAATATTGTTTTTTTTTCAAAAATCTTGAATTAGATTTTATTATCATATAGAAGCATTCAGAAATGTTTCAGAGTATGATCTTCTTCAAAACAGTCTATAAGACAAAGCTCAACATTACAAATGTAGGGAAATTCCAACATACGCTGCGCAGGTACTTCCAACTATCATGAATGTCCTAGAACTCGTTCCATGAACAATTGCAAGGTACGACAGAAACATAGAACATCATTCAGCAACAAGGAAAGTACAAAGAAAAGGGAAGAAAAATCCGCCTGAACTTTTATGACGAAATATATCACAACGAATCTATGTCAACAGAATGCAGAAGAAACTAGATAAATACAATGCATAATAATGCTATTTGATGTCACGGTGATGAGGCAACATGAGAGTAACAGGAGACAGTCTTATGGTCTAATCAAGAAAAATAAATTTCGCAACCGTAATTTAAGCGAAGTTCAAAACGTATATATACGTGTTCCATAACGAAAGGGTTAATAGATTTAGAAAGCTCGTAAGGAAGGCAACAAAATTAGATACTTTCCAATTCTTTTTAGAAGTGGTCTTTGCTTTAGAAAAAAGGATGACTTAAATACCGTCTAGACATCATTTTTTTACCAAACTTTAACAGATTTTGATTGGAAAAAGTAGGATTTGAGTCAAAACGAATAACATATGTGGAATCGTTTTTTTTAACAATGGGCATTTCTGAAAAAATCGAAAAGTATTTGGTTTTTTGGTCCTTCATACGAACTTCCAGAACCTATTAAAAATCCTAAAAGACTTTTTTCTTTCTCGTAATATTAAGAAAACCGTGAACAGGAATGGTTATATAACTATACAATTTTCATGCTCATTTGGAACAATATTTACATCATTACTCAACAACACTTCAATTGTCCGAGCTGAAGTTTTTACTAGAAAAAAAACTATATGATCGATAGACAATTGAGATAGATTTCAGTTTGAAATATCTTACGAGGGAAGGTCTTCAAGTGTGATTCGCCAATCGAATTTATCTTTCGCTTGTAATTAGTCTTCGACGAGACTATTAGAAATTTTTATCATAGTTCATCTCCATACACTGTCTTTCTCAATTTATTACAATTTTACTGAATTATTTTTTATCTTTGAACAAGGTATTTGTGAAAAAATTGACTTATAAAATTTCAGCCCAAATAGGTATGTTCTTGTTCAGATATCGAATATCGAAAAATCAATATTTTTAGAGTAACACATCCTTTCGAGCTGAATTTTTCAGGACGTTGTAGAGTCTACGAGACCTATTTATGGAAAAACTTCTGGTTGAAATTTCATACTTTGATTTTTTCACAAAAAATCTTGCCAGAGATTAAAAACAGTAGTTCAGTAAAATTGTAATAACTTAGAAATGACAGTCTATGATAACGGATCATTATATTCTTCTACTAATCTTATGAGATCCTACTAATGAGCAAAATATTCATTTAATTGGCGAGTCACACTTAGAGTCCATCGGGACGAAACATTTCTGAACTCGGACCCGAATCCAATGTGCGGCTAGATTTATATATTATAGTTAAGATGAATCCAAACCTGACAGGCTCTAATCACACTTGACGACCTTCACTTGTTAGTGTGAAAAAACTTATACGAGCCACCGCTTCATGTATAAATCATGTCTTCATGATACAAACGTAAACATGAATCCTTTTAGCAAAACTGGTTTTTGATCCTTTCGGGATCATTCTAGTTTATTACAACACGATTTCATCATGAATTCTGCATTAGGTAAACTATGAATGGAGGAAAACTGAGAATGGTTGTTAAATGCTCGTATCTTGTATTTTAAATTGTTTCTTTCTTTTTATTAAATTATGTAAAATCAAAAATGAATACATTCAATTTGAATTAATCTATTTTATTTTTATCGACAACCACATTCTTCAACTTGCATTCCTTGATGTCGTTTAATAACTAATTCTTGTCGATCATAATAAAGTAAATCAAGTGGTCGAAGACGAACAGGTACACAAGATGGTTGTTGAATAGAATTTCCACGTTCATGTAAAAGACTTAATAACATAGCATGATTTGTTGGATAAAATAATCTTGATAATGGATTTGGACAATCACCACGACATATACCAGCATTAAAACGTTTTGGTTCAATAATCCATGCACCAAATGATAATTGATTAAAATCAATAAATAGATCATAACGTGAACATGGACTTCGAATTTGTTGGTGTCTAATAGATCGTTTTGTTCGAATAGTTGATGATGGAAGAAGAAAAATTCCAGGTGTACGAGAATAAATAATAAGAGATGCTTGTTGAAAATAATTTCTTAACCATAATTGTCGACGAATAATTAATATTTGTTGTGTTGAATTATGATATAAATAATTTGTTAAATCATATGAAATAAATTCATTTTGTTCTTTTGAAATTATTCTAGGATGAAATCGTTGTTTGTTATGTAAGTTTTTACGAATAATTAATATTAATTTTTTTCGATAAACATTTATATGATTATGATTAGATTTTAATTTTAAACGAAATTCAATTAATTTAACTTCTTCATTTGTTTGTATTTTATTTAAACTAATATTAAAAAATAATACAAATTTATTAATTGAAATATATTTTAATGGTAATAATCGAATAGTATTTATTGTTTTAAGTTGTATTTGTGCTTGTTCATTAAGTGATAAACCATCAGCTAACGAACCTTTTTCATTAATCTTATTATATAAATCAATAATTGATTCAGTTTGAGTAGAAAATGCTTTTAATTGAATAAATTCTTTTAATAATAAAATGAATATTAGACTGAATATGAAATGCATGATTCTTTTTCTATTTTTCTCATTAAATTCATTATTTTCCTTGAATATTTATACTACTTTAGAATAAGACCACCCCATATGAACAAAAATCAATCGATTGATAAGATGTATATACACAATGACCACCTCGACTACATGTGTAAAGATAAGATGTAAACAATCAATCATTTCTCTATTGAAAAATACATCGAGGTGGTCTATTTGAAAACTATACGAATGTAGTATGATTGTTGTAAAAAAGCACTATAATGTTTTATTAAGATTAAAAAGTCAAAGAATAAAAAAAAAGAATATTAAAGCATTTCGATGATAAATGTTGCTTTGGATTATTGTTGATTTCATAACTAAAAGAAGATAAAAAAAATAATTTAATAATGATTTAGGATACAGAATAGAGAAGCATTAATTCAAAAGAAATCAGTTATATAGAATTTTAAAGAGAACACAGCATTCATTTTTTGATAATTTCAGTTTTTTATTTTTGCTAACAAAGTAACTTACTCGGATATCTCCTTCCGACTTCAATGAAATAATTTCTATTCCTATTGAGACTCTACTAAGCTATCAAGTTTTTAATATTTCTATTTTCTACAGTTAGTCTCTAGGTTTTTGAAAAACTGGTGATTTCGAATTTTAATTTGAAACTTTGCGAACATAGAGGACTAAACTAGAATAGGAGAAACTAGTCTATTAGTTGAGTTATCTATGTTCACACAGCTTCAGATCAAAATTCGAAAATACAAGTTAATTTGGGGGCTCTACATAATACACATATTACAAACTCGATAGCTTAGTCTAATGTTAATATGAACACAAATCCTCTCATTGAATCAGAAGGAGATAACTAAGGAGATTAGTTTCGAATTGATAGCATTGATTTTATAAACATAATCTATTCTTGAGAATATAATACAATCTGAGCTGATAATAAAATATAAGCATTACAGTTCTAATTGTTAACAATACATTTTTATCTATCGAATAGATTAAAAAAGCGACTACGAAAACAAAAAGCATTTTTCTCTAATCCCCATAACGAGGAAACTACCTGAACTGATACCCAATGTTCGAGCTCATATTGGGTTCACAGAAAGATTTTGATAAAGCAAGAAATATTCTAAAATGGTTCACGCCCATAAATCTCTACAGCCGAGTTATGGCCGTTTTGCTGAATTTTCGACTTCAGCTTTCGGTATTTACTAAAAATTCAAAAAAAAGTTATTTCCATGTGAAATTGCGGTCACAAATAGATCAAATGACTCGTAGAATGTTCTGAAAGTTTCAGATACAAAGAATGTTCGTTTATCGATATATGGAATTTTCAAGTAAACTCAATTTTTATGGCATATAATCAATTTTTAGAAATTCAATATCTCGATAAAGCAACATTCTTATCAGCCGAAACTTTTAGAATATTCCAGAAGCCATCAGACTTATCCATCAACGAAGTTTCAGTAGCAAAGTATCACTTTACAAAATATTTTAATTTATTGCGTTTCAAATTGTAGTCCATAATCTTTTGTGATAAGATTTAATAATAAAATTTTCTATGCAGATTTGTAGAGAACCCATCAGAATATTTTTATTTACATAAATCATAAGTCAAACGAATGAAAACTTAGAAAGTTATTAACAAAATTATGGCAGGTTCGTTCTATATGAAACACTCGTTAGTTCTATGAGACAAACGGAATTTTTTTAGATTGAAAACTGCCCTGCAGGAGTGTAATTAAAAATGATTGATAATGATTTCCCTATACAATCATAGAACTTTCGTTGTTTAAAAAATTAATAATTCCAATAAAAGACTTTGTCGTATAACATTATTCGTAAATTTTAATAATAAATACTCACGTGCCCGTGTTTAATAAACGTTCATGGTATGATATATTCTAATCATCCATTATTCTAAATAATATTTTAAAAATTCAATAGAATTTATATGAAATAATTAAACTTACAAAAATTAGCTAAGGCACCCATAGGATCCCATGCTTCTAAAGTAATTGCTTCTTGATCAAGAACAGCAACAATATCTTTTGAAAGATATTTTTTATCAACAACAACTTCATATAAATACTCATTAAACCAATTATCAGTCATAATAACATAACCTTTATCAGCTTTATCATCACCATGTGAATTCTCCACACGATATCGAATAAACTGTAAATCATCAGGTTGACTTATTTCATTATCAGATGTTTTAATTTGATCTTTCATTTCATTTGATAAACGTTTTTCAACATGAACACCTGTAAATACCATAGCATGTGTCATTAATGATTCACCATATTCTAATCGTGATGCTTTATTTTGACATGGAAAATGCGAATTAAAATAAAGTTGAGTATCAAAAATGTTTAGATCTAGTATTCCATATTTAGCATGCATATGTTTACCAAAATCAACACCAAACCAAACAGGCTATTTAATAAGACAAAAAAACAAACAACAGAAAATTATTATTGAAAATATATTATTGAGACTATTCATACTTCATCAGCAGCAATTGAATCATATACGGCTTGTTTAAGTACTTGAATAGGTTGATTATTGTATAAAGTATTTCGACCACCAACAATATTTCCAAGATATTCAACCGTATATAAATGTCCATATGGATGTGAAACTCGAGGATCATGCACAAGACATATCTGGTAAAGCAAACAAAGAAGAAGTTAATGCATATTCTAATTCTGAGAAATTTTTCTTTGAGAAGGGCATCTCTGGATTGATTAATTGTTTTTGAGTCAGGATCATATGCGCCTTGTAAACTATGAATAATATGAAGAGTTCCGACCCTTAGCTTATTGCTTCAGAGACGTCATATTTTCTTGATATTCTTTAACTTAATACCGTGATCACCCTGAGAAGCAGTAGAAATACTGATTTTCGAATTTCAACTTAAAACTTTGTATACATTCTGACTTTAACGCAAAAGTAGTTTATTGTGAAAGTATTAAATCTTTTCGTTGCTTCTATCGTAGTAAACGGCTATGGATGAAGCTTATCTTTTATGGTGCTGATATATATCAACAAAGATCGAATCGGTCGGAATAGGCTAGACTGGTCAATCTAGAATCCATATCAACCATAGTCTGATAAGTTGTTGTACTATTCCATCTGTGCAAGGTGATATTTGACAGAGTCAACTTTCAACAATGTTTTCTTACACATCTTCTATATTATGCTAGGAGCAAAACAATTAACAAGGCACACCCATACCGATTCCATTTCTGTACACCAGCATATTTTATGTGTTTATTTCAGGATAGAAGCAGTAGAGTTGGGCAAAATACTCGAAGCACTAGTACTCGAGTATGATTTTATTCGTACTCGTACTCGAGACAGTCCATACTTGTCGAGGTCTGAGGAGTAAATAAAAAAAAATCTAATACTCACAGTTGACTATTCTTATTAAGACCGATCTCTATACAAATTTTCAAGTCAAAATTCGAAAATAAATGTTTCTGATGTTTCTGAAGGGGAACCATAGTATGGAGTTAAAAAATACCGTCAAAATACTGCATCTCTATAGCAACACACTAAAGATCTAAACTCTTTTCAAATTATTCATAGCTTATTAGATCCTATAAAACACACTTAGTTCTGACTCAAAATCAATTAATCAGCCGAAGCGCTTTTTTCATTAGATTATTCAATTTGATTATATAATTTAGCTTGAGAATTATGATTTCGTATAAAAAGAAAAGTTCTAGCTTGAGATATCTTTATAAACGAGCATTTCTAAATAATTATTAAATCGTTTTTATATGAATTATTTAAATAATGAATGCCTCATTGTAATTTGATCTATGAAAAAATCTAATATAACTATTTTGAGATCAAGGTGTATTGATAACGTTAGATTTCTCGTACCGATTCTAATACACGTCTATTTTTGACGTTTCAATCTTGCGTCATAAGAAATATCTAACAATCTTTGATTTGTCATTTAGATAATATATATGTGAACTATACATGAGTGAGACTAATCGGTTTTGACTATAATTCTAATTAAAAATTAAGTAAACATTTAGCATGTAGAAAACTCGAAATAATTCTATACTACTTTTTACATATTCGAAATGATTTTCTGCTCTCTTGCAATCTACTTATTATTCTATTCTAAGACTTTCTCAACGTTCATTCAGTTAAAAATAAAGAATAATCATTTGATATGAGATTCGTTTCTTACAAATCTAAGTGAAAGGTATAAATATCCTTTCATTATTCATTTTAAAATAATGTTGAATTAGTTCAATATCTACCCTGAAGTTTAATTATAAATCTAAATTTTGTACTCTAATCATTTGAAAAAATTGATCAATTATTTTATTTTTTAATTACTTTATTATCCACATTATAGACCGGTTTAACAATTTGTCTATAAAATTCAATTGGACTAATAGGACCAATTTTTTGATACTGTTTTGAACTATCATAATATTCAAATGTTATTTGATCTGGTGGGGAACCAAGACATGTTGTAATAATTCGATGAAGCTAGAAAAGAAATACTTAATTTCATATTATATGAAAAAAACGATGAAATTTACTTCTTTCATCATTTCAACTTCACGATTCATTAAATCACTATCTTTGGTATTTCCTTTTTCAACTAATTCAAAAATTTCTTGAGCAAATCCACGTAACTATTAGAAATAAAAAAAGATAAATTGTTATTGATTATTCTGTTTTTAAATAAATATACTTTAGTACGAAGAAATTTATTCATAAGCAGAGCTGCCTCAGATGACGAACTTTCAGGAAAAGCATTTTTTGGTACAACACCATATTTATTTATTAAATTAACAAGCATATCCCATTGGCCTTTTATTATTATAAATTATATGAAATGATTTTTTTTTTGTGATAGAATGATTTAAATATAGATTTTCTTACCTCCATCAATGAGTAATTCTTTTAAAAGATATTGCATAAGTCGACCATGTATTGATTCTTTCTTTTTTGCTAATTCAATAACTGACATAAGAAAATAATGGCATCGTTCAATCTATATTGAAATTTCTTTTTCTCTATGTATTAAATAATAAGACAAATCAACAAACTTTATCATAATAAAAAAGATAGTTTTGACTTAATTCCAATTCTTGAACTTTAAGTGCTTTCATTAAGTGAATTCGCATTATATTTAAACAAGCAAATATCCAACAACGACCTGAAGCTCTTTGATTCGTTACAGGACGGCCTTCGACTGAAATCTAATACAACAGAAAATAATTTGTCAATCAAAATTAAATCACTTTAAATCATAGAACACACCAGAGATGAAACCCGTCTGACTAGATCAGATCAGACCAGACTGGACTAATCTGTAACTAGTATCGGTTCCACCTCTACAATACATGGCATAGTCAAAAAAAGATGCTCTCTATATATTTGACATTTCTGATTTGTAGTAAACTCAGTCCTATGGGTTAAGTTCCCAACGATTAATTGCTTTTGAGCCGAAATCATGTGCACCATTGAGACTCTAATAGGTTGTGAATACTGCTAAAAGAATTCGGGTCCGTAGTTTATTGCTGTTGACATACTGCATTTTTAGGATCTGCTTCAATATAATGCCGTGGTCTTCTCAGGAAAACTTATTTTGGAATTCCGACTTGATGTTGAAAAATACCGTAAAAATGAAGTATATCGGCAGTAATAAACTACTGATTCGAACTCTTTTCATGGTGTTCATAGACCATTAGTGTTTACATGATGCACATTGTTCTAGTTTAATTACAACTAAAAAGTTGGAAAACTTCCTTCTGTAATCAAAGTTCTTCATTCAACATTCGAATCACACACATGTAATGAAAATCAATAGAAAATGTAACGTCTATCTTTTTTTTCATAGCTGACTTCAGTTATTAAATCTTCAGAGTACGGGATTCATTTAGAAGCTTTCATGCAGCTTATGATTCAAATTCAATCAAATCACAAAGGATTAGCATTTATTGAGTTGATTTTCAACATTTAAGAAGATCCCAGTGGGATCAGTAAAAAATTTTTGAAGAACAAGGACGTTTGGGCCTTTTCGTTCAACATTATATAACTGCTTTATTGAATTTTTAGTTCTTAGATGATCCTGAAAGTTCCTATCAAAACGAATCCTTCATTTTTTTTGGGGTACTGAATTTTGAAATATCATTCATCTTTCATAAGGTCTGAAAAATCAATTTTTCCAAGTAATTCTATCTCTTGAGAAATTACTGTCCATTTCTTTAGCCATAACTTCAGAAAGAAGGTCGAAAAATCAGCTTAATCAATTGGGGACCTACTTCTCGTAAGATTAATGTTAAAATTAAAGCTTACATCAGTAATGCATAAGTGCTAAAAGGTGTAGCAATTGCTTCTTCAAATTGTCTATGCCTCCTCTATTAAGTCAAGTAAAATTACTTAACTCAACATACATACATTCAATATGTTGAAGGTGAAATTGAACAATTGTTTAAATGTTAGACAATTTTTTACATGACATTTCAACACGTGAGCACACTTATCAATAGACGAATAGTGACGACAAAAGAAAAAATTTCAACTTTTTGCTCAATTATTTTGAACAAATCTTTGTTCAATAGAAAATTAAGTTCAAGTGAAATGAGGTCATTCAAAAGTTTATTGCATCCTCGAAAAATTTGAATCTGTACCACTCATAATAGTTTAGTAGACATTTAAATATCGAATTTGATCAATTTTTATCTAATATGTAATATCTCTAAATCCTCAAAATATCTATATTGAACTTTAGAAATTCTAATCATAGATTATGTGAATAAAGTCATGATGAACTTGAAATATTTAAGATCGACAGTTACAATAATGAACTATTTTGTAGACCTTTCTAGAATGATTTCTTTTTTTAATACTTCATTATTTTACACCAAACTTACAACTCGAATAAAGTGAATGTTTATTTTTTTAGATTAAACTTTTTGAAATAACCTTCATAGAAGATTAAAACAAATTCATTTGGTTGGCTATACCTTTGTATTGAACACATGAACCGATGAAAAACGTGTTTGTCGATTGACAATAACATCCGTAAGTGATTGTTGACAACATGCCGATTGAGCTACAAGATTTCTTTTGTCTTTTTGATAATTTTCATAGAAATTTTTCAATTGTTCAAAAGATAAAATAGCTAAAATAATTATTTAAAGAATTAAAAATATCAAAAAAGAAACTCAACGTCATACCTTGTGTATTATCTTTCGACATTTCAATCCCGAGTCTCTTTTGTTTTTGTGTAATGAAAATGTATAAATAAAACAAACTCAATAGTGTTACCAAAATTTCCTATTCGCTGAAACATTGGGCGAATCATAAAAAATAATCGCTAATATCTATTGATTTGCTATATAATTGCACGTATCAGATTTGACATTTGGAGAAGTTGATTATGGAAAGAATGTTTGCAATAGTCATGATAGATTATTTTTTTTTCCTCTTTTTCAATGAAAAAAAAAACGCTTCATGAATTTTTTTCATTGAATAATGTAGGTACTTTTTTTTTCTTCATTAATAAAGTGTGGTGAGTCTCTATTTAAAAGAAAATAAATAAACACCGAGGTCATCATCAAAGGATGGAAGAAAAAAAAAACAAGTAATATTAATTTTTTTTTCTATTTTATATGTAATGTTGAATATTTTACAGCATTGCTGATTTTTTATTATTATTGACCGTTAGGTCTATCTTTTTTTCTGTTCTTTTGTCCATTCATTTTTCAGTCTCGAAAAACGAAACATATATCGAGCGTTTCAAATTTCGGCTCTATCCGCCTATACTCAGACAGACAGAACGAAAACGATGAACAATATATACGTAGAGAATTGGTTGAGGTGGAGAAGAAAAAAAAAAGAACACGACGCGCGTACTTAGAGGTTCATCGTTTACTTTCGTCTGACCATTAGTATTACTACTACTGCGTACACCAACTTAATCGGACTGAATATTGGTGTTGTTCGTTTGTCGTCTTTTTTTCTCTCCTCGTTTTAATTTGATGATATATTGTCCTTGTTACACAGTCTTTATGTTGATAGATAATGGCATATGTTTTTTTTTATATTATTGATTCTACTATACTGATGAAGCAGTAAAAACAACTCGTTTTTTCTATCGATGATAGTTATTAATCTCTTTTTCTGTTATTAACAACATCAAGAATTGTAGGCGCTTACATTCTTTTATACGCATATCTCCTTGCTTTCTTCCGCCCAAAAGAAACTATGTCAACGAATCCGGTCGAACGTGTATATATGTATGTTTAACGAACATGCTATTCGATAGATTTAATTTGTGTTTCGTAAATAGACAGTCTTAGTTGTGATATGAATCAGCTGCTTATGTGTTAAGAAAAGAACCTTTATACATCTATTTAATAATGAACCTTGCAGGACGAGGTTCATCAAAATTGATTGATGACAATCGTCGTAGGCATGATAGAACTACTACTATATGTTCTCTATCCAATACATACACACACCGCCAGAGCTCGGTTACGTAAACAGTATTGACGCTCGAAAAAGAACGTTCGCTGTGTATGGATGGGGCAAGATTGATCGGGAGTGACGACGACCTTTTTCTTCTTTTTACTTTTTTCCTCTGTCGTATGTCCCAACAAGAATTTCTTTGTTGTCTTCGTTATTTTTTGTATATGATGTTTTGTTTTTATTTCTTTGTAGATTGTTCTGTATATATGCTGTCGTTGATTAAGAATTATTATTATAATCAGTATGCACGGTGACATTGAACATGTCCGAAGCAGATCTTCTTCAGCCAGGAAATATAGTTCGAGAACGATGGAAAGTTGTAAGTATATTAATATTTCTTATTCAACAGAAAACAAAGGAATGCAAAGAAATCTTGAAATATAAATAATGTACAATATTTAAAAATTGAACTATTCCATTATAGAAAGACAAAAAACGAGTAACTTTTTAACCCTTGACAAAAAAAAAAAGAATTTTTTTGTTCTTCTTTTCTTTCGTTCTGTAATGATTTCTATAGTGACTTTGTACTTGTGTTTTTATCTCTTCTATTAATCTAGACTACTAAAATTGGTGGTGGTGGCTTTGGTCAGATCTATGAAGCCTATGATCTTGTTACCAAAGAGAATGTTGCACTTAAACTTGAATCAGCTAAACAAGCTAAACAAGTACTTAAAATGGAAGTGACAGTGTTACGTCGTTTACAAGGAAAAGATCATGTATGCAAGTTTTTGGGTGGTGGAACAAATGAATTATATAATTATGTTGTTATGACTTTACAAGGAAAAAATTTAGCTGAATTACGTCGTAGTCAAACACGACAATGTTTTAGTTTATCAACATCATTACGTATTAGTTTACAAATTCTTCAAGCTATTGAATCTATACATTCAATAGGATTTTTACATCGTGACATAAAACCATCAAATTTTTCTATGGGACGTTTACCAGCAACATGTCGAAAAGTTTTTATGTTAGATTTTGGTCTTGCAAGAAAGTATACAAATGCTGAAGGTGGTGTTCGTGCAGCTCGACCACAAGCTGGCTTTCGTGGAACTGTACGATATGCATCAATAAATGCACATAAAAATAAGGTTTAATTAAAGAAACAAAAAAAAAAAAAGAATTTTTAATATACTTTTTTTATGTGTTTAGGAAATGGGTCGACATGATGATTTGTGGAGTTTATTTTATATGCTGGTTGAATTTGTAACAGGACAATTACCATGGAGAAGAATTAAAGATAAAGAACAAGTTGGACAAATGAAAGAAAAATATGATCATGCAATCTTTTTGAAAAGTCTTCCATCAGAATTTAAAGTAAAATCAAACGAAAAAAAGAACAATTCTTCTTTTAATCAAAAACTTTTTTCTTTTTTTATTACTTCAGCAATTTCTTGAACATGTACAATCCTTACATTATGAAGATAAACCTGATTATGAATTTTTACAAAGTTTATTTCGTACATCAATAGCTCGACGTGCATATAAAGAATCAGATCTCTATGATTGGGAAAAAGAATCAAATGGTATTGATGACGAATCAATAACACCAAATTCAGCTGTACAACAGCAACAACCAACACAACAAACCCAACAACAACCTGTTTTAACTAGTATCAATAATAAAATTTCAACGTATGTAAAAAACAAAAAAAGAGATAAAGAATTTTGTGAAATACAATCTAAAAAATGTGTTGAAGTATATAGGGTAGAAAATCGAATTCCCCACAGATTGTGACTAACGGTCTTCAGAGACCACGGCACACGGTCTCTAGAGACTATCAAAGATTGTGACAAAGGTTGTTAGTATGCCATCACAGACTATATTAATAATGACTCATTACATTTCATTGACTACTTCCTTATTGTATTTCTGGAGGATTGAGTAAAGAAATGTGTCCCAAGATGCATGGAATAAAACAATCACTCGGTGATTTATAAGAGCAGTTACATCGTGTTTCATATCTCACAAGAGTTTCGCTAACAGTCTTTTTTTTTTGTTTTTTCTATAAATAATTCATTTTTTTTGTTTCATTCTAGGGAAATGACAAAAGCTATATTAACAGCTCAACCAGGTGGTGCTAGTACGACAATGAATATTCGTCAACAAGCTACAGAAGCTGATACATTTGATGATCGTTGGAAATTTTCAAATGGTGGTGGAAGACAAAGTGGTGTTACATCTGATCATTCACCATTTTCACCACGACGTAACATTCCAAAAAGTCTTGATAGAAATTCAAGACGTGCATATGCATCATCACCTGCTGCTACACCCGCTATTACAAATCCACAACAAACAGCAAATACAACAGAGAAAGATATTTCAATTTCAAAAAAACAATCTATATCACAGCAGCGTACACCCCTTACAGCCACTCCTATTGATAATAATAATAATAATAATAATAATAAAGAAACATGGAAAACAGTTGTTGGTACAATAGCGCCAACGTCAGATTCATCACAACGTTTAAGACGAGCAACATCAAAATCAACTGTTGGTGAACCATTAACACCAACAAGTAAATTACCTAATGGAAAATCTACTGGTAAAGAAGATTCACCAGCTAGTGTATCATGTTCAGATTCTGGTAAACCAAGAACTGGTACTGCTCTATCAACATTAAATCGTTCGCATCAATTAAAAAGTTCCGAACGTCTTACTGATCATCAACCAAATAATTCCACTATATTACCAAATGTTGATGAAACATCTTCACCGGGAATAAATTCAATTCCTAATGTGATTCATACATCTGCCGGTGGTACTGAACATGGCAAACCACCTAAAACACCACGTTCAGCTCGAACAGCAAATAGTCGTAGTGATGCATTAGCACCAACAAGACAATTAACAACGCGTACAGGTGATAGTGAAGCTGTATCAATACCAGCGGCAACATATGCAATTAAAGCTGGACCTCAAACAGTTATGTCACAATGGATGATATCATTAGATGATAATCTTGATGATGAAGGTAGTGATAATCAACATAGTGCTAAATGGGAAGATGCACAAGAAAAACTTCAAAGGTTAGTTAAAGATTTTTCTTTTTGTCTTTTTAAATATTAAAAACAAAAAAATTACTCTTTTTATTTTTATATTAAGATATGTTTGTAATCAGTTAATATATGGATCTCGAATATTATCGAGAACGAATTCTTGTGTTTTTTAAAAGAAATAAAAAAAAAAAGAACTATCTTTCATTCTTGCTTAAAAACAAAAATGAAGCTTAACAAAAAGAAAACCTTGCTTCATATGACTGTTTTAAATGAACAGTAAAACTTTTTCTAGACTAAACTGACAAAAAAATTTCTTTTTAAAAACTTTCTCAACAAACATTTAATCGATTTCCACTTTTTTCTTGTGATTTAGTACAACACATGAACCATCTCAATATCATCCTGCGCAAGCTCAACTGCCATCATCATTATTGCCTACAGGTAATATTGTATCATCATCACCGCCACCTCCATCATCATCACCTCCTGTGAATAATCCTCTTTCTCCGTCCACAATGAACAGTCAACAGATATCACAAACAATAATACCAACAATAGCTGTTAATAATATTCTACAAACACCATCAACAACAAATCCTTTAGCCTATGCTACTATGTTGAACAGTAATAGTTCAGGGTTGGCAACATCAACAAATAATAATGTATTAACACCAACTACAACAAGCATTATTAATGGTGGTCGCCAACAACAGTATCATCGA